ACCTCCGCTCAACCTTTAGCTTGCGTTAGCCGCTTAGCGCTTGTTAGCCTCTTGTCAGGTCGATTTGTTTCCCCGCAAAGTCGTCTCAAAGGGCTGCACGATGGGCACACGCGATGGCCGTCGCCTGATCACGGAGAAAGCCCAAACGCCTAACCGGTGGGGGGGGGGCGACACCCACCTCATCGCGGTTTCGAAAAGGCGCCCGGCGGGTTTGGACTTTGAATGCAGACGGCGGCCGGCGTCCCGCGTCCGCTCAAAGCGCGAGCGGCTTCGACGGAATGACCCGAGGCAGGCGGGGCTCTCGGTTCCGCCGTCCCATTGGCCCCGATCGGATCTGAAGCGGGATCGGTCCGGGACGCGAATCCCGAAGGCTCCATTTGGGAGTTTGCCGCTCACGACCTCGCCGCAACTCATTTCGGCCGCGCAAAACTTCTGCCGGGTTGTCGGCCGGGTCGTCCGTTCTGCCGCTCGGCCGAGACTCCGCCTCCGCACCCGTCTGCCCCCCGGTGACGGGCCGACGTTCGGACTGTGGAGGTGAGCATTGTGAAATTTTCAATCTTTTGCCCATGCGGCCTTCGCTGCAGAATTTGCCGTCTGGTTGCAGGCTATCCGGCTCCTTTTCACCGAGGGCCACGTCAGCGGACCCCCCCCCCGCCCCGGAGGCCCGATCGCTTCCCGTCGGACCGACGGCTCATCCGTGTTCACTCACAATCCCGAGAACCGAAACAACGCCAAAAAGTTTTTCGAATGAAATGGGGGCTCCAGAATCTGCCTTTGCGCTCGTTGGGAAGGCCCCCCCCGCCCCAGCGCGGCAGTCTCGGGCGTCGACTCGGCCAATTTCGCCACCTCGTCGAGGCGGTCGTCAGTGCGCCGGCAAAGGAGCGGCAAGGCTTCGACGGGCCGCTCGCCCGCTTTGACGGCCCCTACGTTACCCCGAGCGCGCGGCGCCGCATCCTCTTCGCTAACCGCTAAGCCTAACGAGCGGCGTTTGCTAACTTCCTGTTGGACCAATCGCGTCCCGTAACGCTTGGCTAACATTGGACGACCACAGAAGAAGAAGTGCCCCCCGCCCCCCGGCCCCGGCGCTTTCGTCACCGCGCGTCAGAGCACCGGCCGCCGTTGGCGAAAGCGTCCGCGCCTCCGTCGAGCACGCGGCGCCGCCATCTGCAGGCGCCCGTTGGCCGTGACGCCGCTTTCCAAACTTGACAATCGCAGACAAACTTCGTTGGCGCACTGATGTGTATATTGGGCGATTCGGAGCCACAACCGCAACTCCAGTCGGGATAACGGCGAGCGATATCTTGAACGCTTGGTTCCGATGTCTTCTTCTTTCACCGCCGCAGCGTGAGGAGCGCGTGTGCGCGCGGCCGCGTGGCGTCAGGCCAAGCGTCAGCTGAGGCCCGACGCGCTCGCTCGTCTTGTGACGAGCGAGCGCGGAGGAAGTCGGGCAAACCACTTCCTGTTTTGGACGGATTTCTTTTTGTGCCGAGTCACAGCTCGGCTTTCCACCTCGGCTCCGCCGCCGGCGCCGCGTCCATTCCACATCCGCTCCCGATAGTTTGGCGGGAACAGCGATTGACTTTGGGGGGCAATTTGAGCCCCCATCAAAAGCGTCGGCGTCAAAACTCGGGTCCCGCGTGTTGTCCACGGCTCCCCGTTTGAGACAAAAGAACGGGCTGGACATTCGGTTTCCGGAGAGCTTTCCGATGATGGGGGGCCGGATGGCGGCCCTCCAGCACTGACTTCAAACAAGTGTCAGACTCTGAAAATACATCAGGAACTAAATCAATCCAAAATTCAGTCACTTGATTTCTCGCCATTTCACGTGCCGTTGGTGGGAAAGGCAACGTTACGCGTCGATCGCCGCGCGTGAGCGGGTCCCGCTAATCGTTCGCGCCGAAACACGACAAAGCCCTCGATCTGACGTCCCGCCTGATGATGTCACGGCGACAAGCCAGCTCGCCTTCCCTCCCGCGTGTACATTCCTGAGGCGATCGGTCGCAGCGCGTCCGCGTGCGTCGCGGCGCGTAATCCGAGCGGCCGCCTTAATCCCGGCGGGGGGCGTCTTAAACTGCGCTAACGTGCGGCTAACGAGCGGCGCGATTAGCCGCCAACAAAGGCCCGCTTGTCACCGCGACCTTTCCGTCGGTTTGCGGCCTCGGCATGTGACTCATCTCAGGCGCTAACACCCGCGTCGGCTAACGCCTCCGCTAGCCACCGATGCGCTCGGGTTCAGCCGGGGGTCACGCCCGCTTCAATCGGTCATCGTCGGACTTAGGCGAGGGGATCACGCGTCCGGCTTTAGCGGCGTGCGAACCAGCATGCCGCTCAAGCCGCGCGACAGAACGCGCCGCGAAACGTGAAGCTTCGGGGGCACGTTTTCATCCAAATGGAGCGAGTCGCATGATGTGTCCGGTCGGGAGTCGAACGGTGAGTCGCGACGTGAGTCAAATTCGTCTTGTCAAGAGTCACCCGTTGATGAGTCGCGCAGTGAGTGAGTCACGGAAACGGTCATATGAGTCACGGGCTGAGTCACGCGGGAGTCAAACGATGAGTTACGCGGTCTTTCACATCGTGAGTGGCGGAATTGGTCACGCGGTGAGTCAAACGAGTCACATCGGGAGTCACGTGGGGCAAATCGCAAGGTGACTCACTTTGTCATCCGGTGAGCCGAGTCGCCGAGATCGGTCACGCGAGTCCCAATACGAGTCGCGTCGCCGTGGCGAACCTTTTTGTGGGGACAACGCTTTGAATCAGCCACCGGGTCGTCGTGTGGGCAATTCGGGGAGAAGCGGTGAAATTTACAGCCCCCCGGATGGCGAGGATTTTCCCAACATGTTGAAGGTGGAATATTTCACTTGCGAAACGCGAAAGCGGTTCATTTGTCCACAAAGTGGGGCGAAGAGCAATCATCCCGTTTTTGGGTGTCGGGTGTCAGCATTCACACAATAAGCCAAACGTGCAAACGTTTAGTCGGGACAGGATTGAGTCTTCCCGTCCACGTTTGCTCGCTCAAAGCCCCGAGAGGACGTTTTTGGGGTCCGGCCAGCATCCGACAAACAGCCCTGACCCGGCCGCCCCCTCCCCCACCGCGTCGTGGGGAATGCCGGCCTCCCACCTCCCTTCTCTGTTTACTCTGGAAGGCCGCGCGAGGCTGCGAGACTTTGACCGGGAACGGCCGGACTCTCGGGGGGCCGGACGTGCCCGCCTCGCGTGACCTCGACCTCGAGAAGACCGACGTTTGGGAGGAGAACGAGTGGTCGGACGTTCAAGAGCAGAAAGTACACGTCTCGCTTGTTTTCACATGTCATCGGCTCAACACGCAAGCGGGTCAAAGTTCATCTTAAGGCCGAGTCCCAGCGCGCGCGTGTCCCTTTAAGACGGGGAAACGTCACCCGGCGTTCAGTCGCTCTGAACACCACCGTTGGCTTTCCATGTCGAAATGGAAATGCCCGATTCCCAAGTTTGGTCCCACTTTTCCAATTTCGATGTTTACCACTATCTTCTTCATGGAAGAGCTCCTTTCCCTGCCGGTTGAGTGCAAGCATCTGACCGGCATGGGGTTCACGCCCTCAAATGTATACTATATTTCTGCAGGAACAGACCCACAAAAAACACACTCTGAAAAGAGACACAAAACAAAACATGCGCACACACCGGCAAAGACAAAAGTAGGCTCCGAAAAACCAAAAATGCATGAAAGACACACAAAAGGCCCAAAAGGACCTACAAGACAGGCGAAAAGCCACAAAAAGACAGAAGCGGATGTGTACGAGACCCACAAGAACGCACGCAAAAAAAAAAAAAAAAACCATACAAGATGAACAGAGAACACAAAAATTGAGCAAAACAAAAAGTTACAATTTTTTGATTGTTCGTCTCTGCGTGGCCTGCGTTTGGCTGGCAAGCGGTTCAGGGTGTCCCCCGCCTCCTGCCCCGAAGACGGCCCGGATAGGCTCCAGCACCCTTGTGAGGATAAGCGGATCAACCTCACGGAGTTGCTCCTTGGTCTGAGAAATTTGAGAGGCCCTGCTGCAATTGTTTGCAAAGTGGCAGTGATGCTTGAAGAGTGAGCAGCCGGCGCCCTCTAGTGTTTGGGGGTCGAGCCTCATGTTGAGCTGGCGCACAGGATCCATTTGTAACGCGTGCTTACGCGGGCTCACTCTCGTGGCTGGCCAATTCAGTTGGATTTCTCCAAAACCGGACGGCAGACAGAAAGACCCCTCTCCATTTATTTGTATCTTCAAATTTCCGAAGGAAACTTCTCCATTTTCTTATCTTATCTTATCTTTTGGTGCCATGGTGCCATTATTTGATGACCGACGCAGGAGGGCGCTGTGGCCAACCCTTTCACAGCTTGCGCTTTGGCGCTCTTTCGTCCCTCTGCGGCTGCCGTCGCGGCGTCTTCGACTTCGAGCGGCAGCAACATGGCGGCCGACGGCCAAGACGACCACAAGGCGGTAGCGGTGGACTTTGTGACTTACGGGACTCCTCTGGAGCCTCTGGAAGAAGGTTGGTTGTGTTCCTGCATATTGTTGCCGCTTCTGTGATAGCGACGACATATAAAGTGCATAAAGCGAAACAAAACCAAAGCGTGTGTTTGTGTGTGTGTGTGTTTGTGTTTCTGTCTGTCTGTCTGTCTGTCTGTCTGTCTGTGTGTGTGTGTGTGTGTGTGTGTGTGTGTGTGTGTGTGTGTGTGTGTGCTATTGCAACTATTTCGGGTTTTTTGGGGGGGTAACATTGACGCTTGTACTAACCTATGTGCTTATGTTCGTGAATTCTTGTTGACTTGTGGGTGTGCGCTAGCTGGATTTTGTGTTTGATGATTTATTTATTTTTTGTGAGACTGACGACGTGTGTTTGTCCCGCTCGAACTTTTGTGTGCGTGTTTCAGACGAGGCCCCGCGTAAGCCCCTCCCCCTCCACGAGCAGACGGTTCGGGATGAAAAGGGGCGGTACCAGCGGTTCCACGGCGCGTTCACCGGCGGCTTCTCTGCGGGATATTACAACACCGTGGGATCCAAAGAAGGTCAGCCCCTTTCCACGACCTCACTTCCCATCCCCGACGATCGACGGCTCGCTCGACGGGAGTGTTGACGGTCTGCGTTGACTTTGTTTGTTGGTCTCGGCGCCGCCGCGGCGCAGGATGGATGCCGTCGGCCTTCGTGTCGTCACGGCAACAGAAGGCGGAGAAACATCAGGCCACGCCCCAAGACTTCATGGACGACGAGGTGGCGATGACGGTGGAGCCGCACGCATTGCGGATTCATCGAGAAGTTATCCGAGAATGTTTCGGCGGCTCTCGCCGGGCTGCTCCCGATGGCGTCCGCGTCGCTGATGTTGTCGGGCGTCTGTTTTGTTTCAGGATCTGGGCGAGCACGGCATCGCCCCGGCCCAGATCACCACCACGCAGCCGTTTGCGTCCCGGGCGGCGACGATGGCGCCGTGGGACAAGGCCAAGGCCGTCAACGCGCAGACGGCCATCATACCGGGAGACAACCTCCTCGACGAACTCATCGCGCCGGCAAGGTGACCTTGCCCTCAAGTCGTCACTTGCTCACGTCACCCCCCACCCCCCAAAAAAAAAAAATTCGACTGTTGCTCTTTGTTGATGTTGTGTCTGTTTGCAAATGTCTGCCATGCTTGAGGTCCTGTGTTCCCAAGAAGTAATGATTTCAAATTTGAGACCCTAACGGTAAAGACCCTCAAGAAATGAATTCAACGCATTGCGTGTCATTTGAACGGCAACGTTTTGTTTGTCCATATATACATATACTGTATATATCAAGCGATGAGCAAGAAATGTGAATTGCAAATTCAGGGGCACGTGGCTGGATCAAAGGGTTTGAAAAAGGAGATGCCACGCCCGTGTCCGTGCTCACCGTTGTTGTTGCTGGTCTTGCGTCAGGTCTTGCATCGGCGTGGAGCTCTTGACCCGCATGGGCTGGAAGGCGGGCCAGGGCGTGGGGCCTCGCGTCAAGAGGAAGCCTCGCCGCCAACGCGCCGGCGCCGGCGCCAGGGTCTTTGGCTGCGCTCCGCCCCCTGCCGGCTCTGAGGACTCCGAGGTGAGTGGAGCCCGTCGTCGCCGCTTTCCCATTGGCCGGGTGACGGCGACTGGTCGCGGCCGGCCGGCCATGTTCCGGCCCACAGAATGCAACCGGCTCGAGTCTTCACTCTTGAGACCGTGGCCCCATTTGATTTGTTGACCTCCAGTGTCGCTAGCCGCGACATTAGAGTAAGGCCCCGTCTCGGCCCCGTGGCCCGAACTCGGTTGAGCGGGTGATGATGCCCAGGGACCACGTTGACGAGAAAAGTGACGAGGCCGACGACAGCGACGACAATAGCAACGGCGATGACGTCCGCGACGCCGAAGACGGTCGCGCCGACGACGGCCGCCGCGATACTGACGCTTGTTGTGAGGAGGAGGCGGAAAGCGACGACTGTCGTGACGGGCGGTCGCGGCGAATCGCGATGACGGGGAGAATGCCCATCACAATGACGACGTTGGCCCTCAGGAGGACGACGGCGAGTTCGCCCCCGAGAACGTGACGTTCGCCCCCAAAGACGTGATTGCGGTGGACTTCGGCGTGAGGGCGGGGCTTCAGGGCCTGGGCTACAGCGGCCTGGATCCGGCACTGGCGCTGCGCGGCGAGGCCGCCGATCGTCACCCGGCCCTGTTCTCGCCGCACTCGGACGCCACCAGCAGGCTCTTCAGGGAAACGCCGCGGGGCTCTCGAAGAGGAGGGGGCGTGGCCGGCCAGGTGAGCGTGCCGCCGTCCCCGCCGCGTGAGCCGCTTGGCAAAAGTATCTGCCCGGCGATTTATTTGCGCGCCACTAGAGGGAGTCCGCCCGAGTCGGCGACACGTCTTTGGCGGCCGCCTAAGCTAGCGTGCGGCTGTGCCGTTTAGGCCTTCGGCGTGGGCGCGCTGGAAGACGACGACGACGAAGACGTGTACCAGCGCGACGCCATGTCCAAGTACGACACCGTGCTGGGGGACGAGCCCGGAGACGGACTCTACGGCTGGACGGCGCCACGCGGCGGCAACGGCGACCACAGAAAGACGCGTAGCAAACTGCCCCTTCCGCTTTGTTTTCAATGAGCCGTGGCGTTATTCGCGCCGACGTTTGTTTGTCCTCAACGGAGCGCTCATTGACATATGTTTGCAGACCACAAGGAGGCGTCGTACCTTGGCAAAATCCTGGAAGGCTTCACCTTGGCACGCGACTCCCAAGAAAAGAAAATTGTGAGTCTCATCTTGAACAGTAAAAAATGAGCATTCGCAAACATTCGGCCGGGTTCAAATGCGGTCCTGTCCCCAAAACGCCATCCGTAGCGTCTCGTCCGAGTGCCGTTTTGTCATCGAGCCACGTCACCTGACCACGGTGAATCACTTTTTCAATCCCTCCGCACCGAATATGCGAAGAAGGCTCAACAAATCAGGGAACGAATGGAAGGGTCAAAATGTCTTTGTGCGCACCTCGGTGATGTGCGGGGGAGACGGACCCCACCGACTTTATTTGACCGGATGAAAAGGAAACGAAGTGAGACAGATGTTTGGAGAGATTTGCCGCAAATGCGATGTTGACGTTTGTGGCGCGCGCCCGCTCGCAGATCTTCGCCGCGCCGCCGCTGCCGGCCGATTTCCGTCCGGTGCACCACTTCCGCCCCCCGGTGGCCGTGTCGCACGTGACGGGCGTGAGCGCCGCCCTGGCCGAGGCGCTGAGGTCATCCAAAGGACAGGCGCCCCTACAGGACGCCGCCGCCGCCGGCCGCCACCACATGGCGTCCGACCAGAGGGGGGCGCTGCTGGGCGAGGCCGCCCTGCCAGGTGGGAAGCGCGCCGAGCCTTGGCGTCGTTTGCCTCCCGCGCGGCCGCTGCGTGTGTGCGCGTGTGCGTGAGCGGTTGGGGAAGGCAAGCCACTGCACACACAGAGCAAACGTTTCACACTCGCGTGGTCCCTCCCCTTGCCTGAGCAGGCCCCGCCTCCGTCATGGAGCTGCTGCGACCCGAAGACCGGCTGCGGTTGCTGCGTTTCCGAACGGCCGCCTCCGTACCTTCCGACCCCCCGCCGCCGAGGGCGCCTCCGTCCGCGGACGCCTCGTTGCGGCAGCGGCAGGAGGAGGCGGCGGCGGTGTGGCGAGGCCGCGACGGCGACCCGCGGGCCTTCAAGCCCTTCGAGAAGAACGCCGGCAAGCAAGCCCGATACGACGCTTACTTGGGACGACTGCGGCTGGGTGACAAAGGTGAGCGCGTTGGTGCGCATGCGCCCGCGCACCAACGTGGGCGCGCGCGCTCACGAAGGCTTGTGCGCGCGCAGATGCCCTGGAGGCCAGCCTGGACCCTTCCATGACGGAGTGGGAGCGCAGCAGGGAGAAGGAGGAGTTTGTGCGGGCGTCCATCTTGTACCGGCCCACCTCCTCCGCGCTGGCCAGCCGCTTCACGCGGGCCAAGCGGGATGACAATGATGACGACGAGAGCGTGGAGGTGGCGGCGCAGACCGAGGTGAGCGCGGCCAGCCGCCCCATCGCCGCGTGGCACGTCCGCTCGCGCGTGCGCGATTTTGATTTTGCTGCGTGAAAGGCATTTGAAAACTGTTTTTCTTTTTGGAGTTTGCGCTAAGTACGCGAACGTCGGTGCGCGCGTGTGTCCACAGGGCAACACGGAGGACAAAGAAGCAGCCGTCAAGATGAAGATGTTTGGCAAACTGACCCGGGAAACGTTTGAGTGGCATCCGGACAAGATTCTCTGCAAGAGGTTCAACGTGCCCCACCCCTACCCCGGGTCTGAACAAACGCAAACGCCTGTTGTCGCGCCGCCACGACGGTGATGATGATGATGATGATCTCACGGTGACATCACTGCAGGTCGTCCACCGTCGGGCTCCCCAAAGTCAAGCGGGACAAGTTTTCCGTCTTCAACTTCCTGATGCTGGACCGCGATGCCGAGCGAGCAGGTCGCTACCTGGCCGCCTGCCCGCCCGCCGCGTTTCTCGCTTCCCGCCGCCCGTACCGATGTTGCGTATGCGCGCTTGTCGGATGTTCCCGCAGCTCCTCCCAAGGCGGCGCAGGCCACCAAGAAGTCCAGGTGGGACCAGGAGGCGGAGCCGGCCCACGTGTCTGCTCAGCTTTTTCCCCCCCCGATCAATTTCACCTCCTTTTTTCTCCTCATCCTCTTCAGAGCGCACCCGATGTGTCCCGTGACCTCTCACAGTGCAGGAAGCAAGAGGCGGAGGAGGAAGAGGACGAAGGTGACGAAGATGAGAGTGAGGAGGAGGAGGAGGAGGAGGTGCGTCCTCCCATGGACGTGTTCAAGGCCATCTTCGCCGGCTCGTCGGACGACGCCGCCGAGTCCTCGTCGTCTTCGTCGGATGACGACGAGGCGGAGGGCAAGGAGGAAGCCGTCCACGAGCCGCCAAAGAACCTCTTTGACGTCTCGTCCCGCGCCGTCGCCGCGCCCTCCCGGCCCGCAGGTGACTTCCTCTCGCCCTCCCGTCCGCAAGGAACGAGCTTCCCGTGGGGGCTGACCGTGGCTTATGATCGCCAGCCACCAAAACTCCAATTGAAAATCGAAACGGTGAACAAAATCCAATGAAAGCGGGACGTTTTGGGGGGGGAAACGACGTGAGTTGTGGACAACAAAAAAAGGAGTTTTTGTTTTGGGCGATGTCGGCATGTCTTTGATGTGAAAACAACCGCGCTCGGGCGTCGCCCTTGCGGTTGTCTCTTTCCAAACGGCAGCCGCGCCTTCCTGCCCGCCGCCGTCCCGGGAAGCGGCGGAGTTCGGTCCCGAGCTTCCTCCCGCCGGTTTCCATCCCGGTGAGTCTCCGCCCGAGAGCCCCGCCGGGCCCCCCCGCGCACGCTTGGCCTCATTGGCGGACGCATCCCGTCGTTCTTCCCCGCGCAGCCGCCGCCGCCGCCTCCTCGCCGCCCCGCGACAAGAAGCACAAGAACAAGAAGCAACACAAACGCGGGAAAGACAAGAAGGTGCACGCCCGACGCTTTTTTTCTCCTCCTCCCCCTCTTCCTTCATGTTGTTGTTTTTGTTGTCGGGCAGAAGAAGAAAACCAAGAAGAAGAAAGACAAAGTGAAGCAGCGAGACGACAAGAGGAAGAAGAAAAAGAAGAAGGCCATGGAAGAAGAGGACGCATCGGAGCCAAGCGACGGAGACGGAGAAAGCGTCGCCGCAGAGGAGTTGATCACCAGGTCGCGGCTCACAAATGCACCGCCTGTGTGTGTGTGTCTTTGTTGTTTTGCATGATTGAATTGTGTGTGTGCGTCTGTAAAGTGTGCGTTTTTGTTTTTTTTTGTTTTGGTTTTTTTTTTACCGTGCGTGCGGGTGTTTTTTCCCCCAGGCTGAAGAGCGTGCCATCGTCGTCGTCGTCGCACCCCCCATGGCGATGATGACCCCTTCCGAACGGCCTCGGCAACTCGGCAATAAAAAGCAAGTCGTCAACGTTGCCGTCCTTGCCTTTTGTCCTTGCAAATGGACGGATCACCTCAGCGATTCTTCGCGGTCAAGCGTCGTCGCCCGACAGCGAGTCGGCCGTCAGCGAGCCCGAGGTCGGCCGTCGCCGCGTGGCGCCGGTGCCGCCCAGGAATATCTTGCCGCTTCCTGCTGAAGTTTAGTCCCAAAAGTAAACATCAAAGACCCGAAAGCGAACACAATCGGCGCAGCAACACACGTAGACGGTCCGGTATCCTTTGCGCTTTGTACAGAATGAATGAAATGAATGGCGGCGGGGGCCGGGCCCCTGCCCCCGCCGCAATATGATTGGGCGGCTGCCATCTTGGTTTTATTGATTGTTTTTGGATTGTTGTTATTAGTTGGAATGTTGCACGAATGTTTTATTTTCTTGTTTATTTCCTGGTTCTTCTCACACTTTGGACAACGTTGGAGCTATGTACTTGCGTTGTTGTCCCCCCCCCCCCTCCTCTCAGACAGCAAATTGACAAATGTAAATATAGCTTTGGAAAAAAATAAGGTTTTGGCTGCATTCCAGTGATTTGGTCAAGAAAAAAACGAGCTGAAACTCACCAAAACAATCCTCAAATGGCAAGAAGCGCGCTATGACGGGGGCGGGGCTTTGCTTTGCGCAGGCTTTGCCTTCCTTTGTCGCCACAGTGTTGAGAAGCTCTTGACTTCCGAGACCGGCTGCTTTGCGCGGCCGCCTCACCGCGCAGGGCCGCGCGGTTCGTTTCCGTGCGTGGAGTTTGCGACATCCGCGCCTTCGTGGTGGACGGGTCCCCTCCCTTGACCGGTGCGGAGCCGTCACCGCGGCTCTCAGAGCTAAGTCTTTTTTCTTGAAATATTTGAGAGTGGGGAGGATGGGGGAGGGGGCATCGTTCGCTTGAGCGTGCCGGCCATCGGGAGCCTCTTTCGCGGCAACGCAAAGTCGAAATGTGCCCGGCCGGCAACCTGCGAGCGACGCCACGGCGCCTTTTCTGCGCCAAGCAGTTGGGAGGCGGGCTCGGGGGTCTCGTCTGAGTGCTGATGCAGACGCGCGCGCACACACACACACACACACACACACACACATATACACGCGCACACACAGGCGTGTGTTGATTTTGCAGACATGCATACAAGACAGAAGTGTGTGCAAAAACATCTTTAATTCTATCAAAGAGTGAGAAAAAATATCAAATAACGTTGTGTTGTCTCGATCGAAACTTCATATTTTGAGTGCTGAAAGTTGCCTTTGCGAGAAAGAGTCAACAATGTGCTGATTGGTCGGAAAGAGAGCAACGGGGCGTGACGTCACGGTCGCTTGCGCCTCGACTCCCGCTTGTTGTTTTTGAGCGGCGGGACTTCCTGTCGCGCTCCCCGTCGGGGAATGAACGAGCCTCGCTTTGTCGGGTCGAGCCGCGCCGACTTCAGCCACAACTCGGAAGGCCAGAACTCGGCCGTCCATCGCCCGTCCAACTTGCGGAACATTGGACTCCTCCAATCACAAGTTGGACAATCGCGACCGGAAGGAAACGCAAGTGAAGAAGCGGGACGTCGGGAACCGTCCGGAGTACGGCTACGGAGGAAATCCCGTTTTGCAGCTTTGATCCGCGTCAACCGCGCGTGTTCTTTCAGCCCCCAATTTGTCGGCGCTACTCACACACGTCCGCCGGCGCCTCCTCCTCCTCCTCCTCCTCCTGTTCGTCGTTGTTGTTGTTGTCGTCGTGGCAACAGCGGGCCGGGGCCTCCTTCCCCAGGACGCCGGCCTCCTTCCTGAGCGCCCGGGGCACCAGCCTCTTCTTGAGGAAAAGGCTCTGGAGGAATCGGTCCCGCAGGGCGGCGGGAAAGTAGCCGCTGACCAGGTACATGAGGCCCACGCCGGGCCCGGCGAAGTAGCGCGCCCTCGGCCGCGGATCCCGCAGCGCCCGCTCCATGGCGTCCACCACGGGGCTGAGGTCCGGGTTGGCGTGGCGGGCAAAGTGCTGGAACAGCTCCTTGGTCTCGCTCACGTAGTCCTCGCCAAAGTCCTCCAGAAGCGCCGGCGACAGAGAGCCCAGGAGCTCCCGGTGCCGGGCCTCCCAGTACGCCGCGTTGCCGCACTGACCTGCCGGGCGCCCACCGCAACAATCACAGCGATGACGCCGTTACCGCGGGGGGGCGAGCGGCCCGTCGCGCCTTACCCGTCTTGTAGGACGAAGGCAGGATGGTGGAGACGGGGACCCCCCACGGCGCCAGCTCCCGCCTCAGCGTGTCCATGAACAGGTTGAGCGCGGCTTTGGACGCTCCGTACGCAGCCAAGCACGGGAAGGGTTGGTCCCCTGCGGCGGCGAGAGGGCCACGGTGAACAAGGTTTGAGGGCCCTCCAGGGCTCGGTGCTATTTCCGTCTCAGTGGGATGGATATATATATATACACGTAGATTTTTTTTTTTGTCCCCGCCGTTCGGTGCCCTCATAAGGTGTAAAAGTGGTGGCCCGAGGGCCGGATCCCACCCGCCGCCCCATTTTGTGTGGCCCGCAAGAGCAAATCACGCGTGTCGACTTCTTTGCAAAAATCCGGACCGATGTTTCAAATTGTCGCGTGGAATAATAAAACGGATTTCTTTCTTTTTTTGGTCCCCTTTTGACAGTAACTGAACGTTAATCGGACTAAGTAGTCGCCTCTTCTTTTTCTGATGAGCTGGATCACATCGACATGTATCGTGCTGTATTTTTCCGCGGGCATCGATTCGAGGCATATTTCAGTCCGCCACAACTGGCCAGGGTGGGCCGGACGGGAAAGTCGACGGCTCGAACTTCCGATCGGCTCGGTGTTCGTGCCTCGGCTTTGTTTTATTGTGCTCATCGTCCGCAGGTTGTCACGTGACGACAGGGCCTTTTCGTCAAGACACGGGGGCGGGATTCCAGGATGCCGGGGGTAAAGTCCAAATAGGGCGAGAAAACACATTTTTGAAACATTTGAGACGAAAGGCGGAAGGAACGCTCCAATCGTGATCGAACGGGGTGACGATGGGAGGAGTAAAAAAGGGAGCCGTTTGTGAGGCGGCCCGCAACAAATATGTGATTTTTGAATGAGGGCGTTTTCGGGACAAATTGCCCCGGAAGTCGCGGTTGCGTTCAACGTGCGCGCGTTCAAAAAAAGTGCAAAGGACTTCCTCCAAGTGAGCTTGGCCCGCGATTCCTCGGCGGGCCGGTAGAGGGAGCCGGCACGGCACTCGCGGCACTCGGATCCCCGCCGGCGCTTGCCGAGGGACGGAGTCTGAGACTCATTCCACCCCCCCCCAATCAATCAAGGCTCTCTCGAAAAAATGACGCCCCCCTGAGATCAAAGCCGGCTCGGGGTCCCGCCGAGACTTGGCGCGTGCGCGTACCGGCCGGACTGGAGACGGTGACCAGTCGCCCTTTGTCCCGTCGCAGCAGCGGCAGGAAAGTTTTGGTGACGTGGAGGGTCCCGAAGAAGTTGACCTCCATGCAGCCGCGGAAGTTGGACATCTGGGACAGCTCGATGTCGCCGAAGTTCACGCACACGCCGGCGTTGTTCACCAGTGCCCACAGACCTGAGGCGCGCACACACACACACACACACACACACACACACACACACACACACACACATGCACGCACTCGTATCTGCGAAGGGCAACAACTGCGCGGCGTTGTCAAAACCGCCGCCGTCCGCAACGAGCAACGTTTCAGTTTTCGTCGTGATTGAGGCGCTTTCTTTTGGAATTTCCAACGGCAGCAAAATTCCGAACCTCTCGCTTGTTGTCACGACCGCGGCTCCACGTGTCAAGTCATCGCTAACTTTGTGAAAAGGCCACTCGGAGCTCCGCGGACGGCCCGACGAACGGAAGTACAGTCCAAGAAGCCCCCGGCGGCGGCTTCCGGCCTTGTTTTTTTTTTTTTTTTTTCCCATGTCTGCTGAGCACTTGGGAGCAGAGTGGATTTCACGGATTGCTGACGGTCTGGAATGAACGCGCCGCCACGGACCGCAGGTGAAAATGACCCATCGACCCCCGCAAAAGGCAACCGGTGGCAGCTTGCGACGCGGGGCGAGGGGGCGGAGCCTACCTTGGGGTCCCAGCCGCGCCCGAACCTGGGCGTACGCGCGCCGCACCTGCCGGGGCTGCGTGATGTCCAGCTGCAGCAAGGCCAGGCGCGGCGAGCAGGCGCGCCGCAGCTCGCCGGCGCCCTCTCCGCCGGCGTCCAGCACCGTGGCGAACACCCGGAAGCCCAAGCGGTCCAGGTGGCGAGCCGTCGCCTTCCCGAAGCCCGAGTCGCAGCCTGAGGGCGCGTCAAAATCCACCCGACCCAGGAAGAAAATGAGCGGCAAAGGTCACCGACGTGGAATTTTCACCAGGCGGCGTTCAAGGTCACAAACGGACGCGAGCCAAGAAATTCGCGTCCGGGACGCGAGCTGCGTGTTGGAGCGCCTTCCTCGGCAAGCGCAAAGTCTGTCGGCCCCGAACGGAGACCGACCGAAGCTCAACGGTGACGACGTTTCAAAAGCGGCTCCATCATCGAGCGGAACGCGGCCGACGTTTGCGACGGAGTCGGAGGGCGACCGGCCGGCGGAAAGCGAGCGATGACGACGACAACCTTGCTCTTTGATGTTATTATTCAATGTTATCGCGCCGTCCTGAAAGATGCGCGCGTCGCATGGGATCGTATCGCGGCGCGTCGGCGAGGCGGGCGAAGGACGCGGCCGCCGCCGTGCCGAAAGGGGCCGCCCGGTCCCGCTCGCGATCGGTTGGTGAAGCGCTCGCCGAAGGCCCGTGCGGGCTTTGGACACACTCGCCGCCGTCTTCCCGCCGGAAAGAAACTTGCGGTTCCGCCCAAAAGGTGAACGTGACCCAGTCGTCTGCGGGTCAGGCGGACCACTTGGCGAGGAGTCCAAAGGCCGGCGGTTGGACGGCGCTCAAGGTTTCCGCGGGTTACCTTGCTCTTCTGCGCACAAGCCCCCCCCGCCCCCTTTCTGTCTTTTCCGGTTTTGTTTTCGTCACCTGACTCAAATGACCGGGCCGAGTCAACCTGACACAAAAGGTTCAATGCGTGGCTGCGGTGGTGAATAATTACACGTATGCGCGTGCATTTGTGTGTTTGTGGGGGATTGCGTGCGGGTGAATAATTACAGGCGCGCCTGCGTTCGGATTATGCCGAGCCGGACCGGCCGTCGGGCGTGGCGGGTGGATGCCCGCTCGGCTGCTGACTTTGGGGGCACATGAGGTGCGATGGATTCTTTTTTTCTTCTTTTGTCCCTCTCACCTCCACCGCTGCCCGGTCGGCCCACCGAGCGGACCGAACGGCCCACGAAACACTTGACGGCGTTGCCTTTTGAATGGTAGCGGTCCGCCGCACGTCGAATACGGCGCCGGCCGAGAAGGGGCGGTCACGGCGATGGCCGAGCGACGCGCGGCGACGGCGGCATTCTCGGGCCGCGCTTTCCTTCAGCGCAGGGGTGTCAAACTCATTTGTTGTCGCGGGCCACTTTGGAGTGACGTCGGAGGTGCGAAATCTCAACGTTATTTATGAGCCGTGACAATTTGACATTTCGGGACAGATTTCAGCGAGAATCACGAACGTCGACACCCGTGATTTGCTCTCGCCGGCCACATAAAATGAGGTGGGGGGCCAGATCTGGCCCCCGGGCCTCGACTTTGACACCCGTGCTTCAGCGGAACGCGTAGGTCGACCGTCGAGAGTCCAAAACGCCTTTGGAACGGGGGTGAACGAAGAAGCCATTTTGCGGCTCGTTCTTAGGCGCCACCCGTACCAAGTGCCGGCGATGACCGCGGGCAGCGATCGGCTCCGATCGGCCGCGAGCCGGCTTGTCTCGTTTCCGGGGCGGGGACTTTGTTTGAGGGAACTATCCGTGACGACGGAAAGTGACGTCGGCAACGGTGACTTCCTGGTTACGGAGAGAGCAACCAACGCCAGAGTGCGCGCGCTCGCCTCGATCCATGTGACGTCAGCACGCGAACGCGTCCGGTCCCGGAGTCGCCGGACGGTCGCATGTTTGTGCGCGTGCGCGTGCTCGTCACGTGAAGGTGTTTTATGGGTGCCGGTGAATGATTCAAGGTTTGGCGTGTCCGGTTTGAACGATCCCGTCAGCGTCGTCGAGATGGTCGAGCACACCTCGGCGCTTATCTCTTGGCGCGCGCGCGCGTGCAGATGACGTCGCTCGGCTCAAGGTCACACGGGGACAAAGAGTCGAAGCCGTTCGAGTGCACGCGCACGACTGACACGCCCACCTAAACGCCCAACCGCGCGCGGCTCGCAAAACACACGCGGGCACGCGCGCTCTCGTCGCTCATCCAACAGCAAAAGATGATCCGCCGGCGCGCGCCCGTCGCTCGCCCTTTGGCGCACTTTGAGACGGAAGCGCGCGCGCAGAGCCTTCCTTTGCTTTCGCTCCTCCGCCGAGGCGTCCGAAAGTCAGAAAGAAAAGTTGCGGCGCCAAAGCGAGCGAGTGCGGAAGCGTCACCTGTGATGACGACGGCCTTGCCGCTGACCGGCAGCAGTTTGTCGCCCTTTCGTCCCTCGCTTCTCTTGCCGGCGTCCGCGTGGAGCGCGCGCGCCGGCCTCCTCGCCAGCGCCAGGAGCGCCAGGAGCGCCGCGAGCGCCGCGAGCGCCAGCAG